TTCGGGTAAAGGCGTGGAGCCCTTCCGGCGAAAGTCGGGGATTTGTCTGACTGGCTCTTAATAGGGAATGGGGGAATGGGTTATTGGGACTACTATAGGGGACCTTAAGGGGCTACCATAGGGATCCATTCCCCCATTCCCCTACTAAGAACCAGGGATTTGTGGCTAGAGACTGCGAGTTTTGAGGGCCAAGCCGCAAGCGCAAAGCAAGTACGGGGAAGACCTTGCACCAACCACATGACCGTATGACCTTATGTCTATGGAGCTTCGTCTACCTGTGCAAATCACGATGGGTGTATCAAAATGTGTGTGTATATGGGTTGTTTTCTAAATCAGGGTTATATCATCAACAGTATATTGGGGCTTAAGAAGGGACCCCAATTTAGAGAGCTACCCAAATGTCTTTACTTCAGGCTCAGTCCTAAACGTGCTGAGACACACACACACAGATGGGCATGTCGATTTAACTATCTACCTCTCTCTCTGTCCGTTTATGTGTATATATATACACATGTATTTGTCTCGATCTCCATCTCTGTCTCTATATCTCTATCTATACATAAATATAAATGTGACCGTATACATATATGTGTATATATATATACACGCATATTCTATGTGTATGTGCACATGTATACGTACATGCATAGAGAATGAGGCAGAAAGAGGAGAGAGTCAGAGAGTCAGAGATATGAACAATAACCAAGCTCTGCGCTTCTGATTTTTGGTTTAGGGCTTAAACCCTAAACTCTAAACCCTAGACCCTAAACCGTGAGCATAGTTGGTTGATGCAATTGACAGGTGCAGAGCGCAGAATGCTTCAGGAACATGCTGTACAGGAGCCTGTGATAGACAGGATTGATGCTCTGCTGCAACAGCTCGACGACTTCGCGGCGGCAGACTCCGGCGCAGAAGCAAGATGGGGCCTTGCGAGGCTTGTTCGGCGTGCTGATGAGGCGATGGTTTCTATGCAATGTATTTTGGATGTGCTGCTCAGGAGACTCAGGCCTCGTGGTCACTGGCCGGTGGTGCGCACGCCACAACGTGAAGTGGACCAACTCCGACATTTCAACCGGGCGAGGAACTACGGGTCGGTGTTTGAGGACACACTCCAACATCACCTGAATGTGCCGCTGCAGCCTCGCGAGGACTTGTCCATGGCCAGACGACCCTCTCCTGAACCAGTGGCAGATACATCCGATGCTGAAGCGGTTGAAAACGAAAAACGAAGGTGAGGCAGCATCTTCTTCAACCTCGCCACACCGCAGCCCCAATGCAGAGAGAGGACGTTCCAGATCCAGAGGGAGAACAGCGAGTGCTGACGAGGCGGCAGGCTCGGACAACCCTGCGACCGCGAGCTCCTCCTCGTTTCAACGTGCACTCGCTGGTGAATTACTTGGAATATGGACCGAACCACCTGGTGAAACTTCCTCCACAACTTCGTCACTGTCGTTGCCATCTTCGTCCTCTTCCAGTACGACCTTGTCGACTACGTCTTCATCGAGTACCTTGGTGACATCGTCGAGCAAGTCTTCTTTGAGTACGTCTTCCTCCAGTACCTTGGTGACTTTGTCAGGCAGCACCTGCACCTCCACGTGGCCTCCTTCGTCATCTTTGAGTTCAACTTCGTTGACTACGGCCTCCTCGTGTACCGTGGTTACGGTGTCGACCTCACCTTCCTTAAGTACGTCTTCCTCGAGAACCTTGGTGACGATGTCGGATAGCAGCAACACCTCCTTGTGGCCCACGACGACAACGACATCACCAACTATGTACGTACCAGACGTGGAGGGAGTATATGCGAATGGGTCGACTTGCATGGAGCTGTTGCATGGAGGTGAACAGCAAGATGTTGTGGCTGGGTTGACTTGCTCGTCCTGGCCTCTCTTCCCCTCGCGCTGCGCGGGCCCCTCTGCTCCAACGTGGACGTGTGCTTCGAGTGCCTCCTTGTGGTCCCTCTGGGTGTCCACCTCGAGCAGTACGTCGACCAGCACAACCTCCTCGTCTTCCACGGTTACGTGGCCGGATGAAGTGGTCCGGGATACGGTCACGAGGGAACTTCAGGTGGCCAGTGAAGCTGATGTGGTGGACGTGCTTCAACGTCGGTTATGTCGATCCCGAGCTCTACTGCACAATCAACGGCTCCTGCTTGCAGCTCTGGAGGAGTTGCTACCGTGGCTCACCACGACACCTGGAGCTGAGATCCTGAATGGACCGACAATGGAGGCGCAGATATGGCAGAGTGTGGCCCGGGAGGCGGCGCATGGTTCTAACCCCTCAACTTCGTCTGGTGGCACGGTGCAGTCGAGTCCCATGGTACTTCTTCAGCCGGGTCTACCGTCCTCCCATCAAGCCATTCGGGATGAACTGCCTGGGATGTCCCCTGCAGTCCGTGCTGGTTTGCGACGGAGGACTTGGCGCCAACATGTCGCGAGCCTTGGCCCTGATGCAGAAACCCCCGTGGCAACTTCTGGAGTGCCGGATGTGGATGCGGACCTCTACCTTGTGCAGCTCAACACCAGTCGCCGTGTCACAGTGCCACCATGAGCCGATGCCTTTCGCTGCATGCCATTGCGTCTGGAGCAGGGACGACGTCGCAATCGCAGTGCTCGTGGTCGTGGAGAACTTCGTGAACCTGGTGGTGGCGCTGCCTCTTCTTCGCAGTTGGGCTCTTCCTCGTCGGTGCTTCCTCGTCCTGTGACGCCTGTGCCACTTGTGGAATCTGGACTGCGTCGTCGACGTTCTGTTACTTCCTCTCCTGAGGCCCGTGAGCGCAGTCGTAGTCGCGATGGATAGGTGACGGACGTTTGTTAGCAGCTGGTAGTGGCTGCTTCAGCTCCTGTTTTCTGCCGTATGTGCAGAGACTCTCTTGGAGTGCATGTCTGCTACAGATAAGTCTCTTCACGACGTGGCAGCTGAGTGAAAGGGGCCATTGCACCAAAAAAAACCGTAAGTTTAGGGTTTAGGGACTCGTTTTCACACACAAGCAAGGAACAAGCAAGAGACTCGAGGACTGCCCCAAACAAAGCACATGCCGGAGACTTGAACATCTGCAACGAGCACGGCACAAAAGCTGTTCGGGCTTTGCGTTTAGTATCTCGGGGCAAGGGTTTGGGTAAAGAGCATGGTACGTGAATGGACTTTCAATATATATATATATAGATAGTGTATACATGTGTATATATTTATATATGTATACATATATATATATATGTGCATATTATACACACACACACGCCGACAAGATGTGCGAGTTCTAAAGCCCATCCGTCTCCGCGGTGCTCCCTGCGATCTACCACTGTCCTCTCGCTTTGCAGCCCTTACCTGCGAGAAAGAGCCAGCCAGGAGCTTGGCCAAGACAATTTTCAGACTTCTGTACAACTGGTAATCTATATGGGACTTTCCGAAAATTAGGGTACCTTATTTTGGGGCTCCTTATAATAAGAATCCTGCTATTTAGGGTACTATATTAGAATCCCCTGTTTTCGGAAACCCCCATATGACCTCCCCTTGTCATCCCAATATAACTAGACTCACTACGTAGAATATATCCGAAAACCTACTCAGTCTCGAAGTGTTCATGCTCCACCCACATGCAAGAACCCAAAAGCCTGCCAGGGATCCTTTAATGCTTTTTCGAACCCGAGAGGAGACCCTGTATGTCGAGCCCTCAAGCGCCAAACCTCAAAGGCTGAACGCAACGATGCCTTTGGCATTCCTATGGTTGATGATATAAATCCTGCATTACCCGTAATAAGGAATATACCATACGCCCCATAATTCAGGGTCCTTCAGGTAATGCAGGATTTATATCATGAACAGTATCCCTTGAACCCTCCTGCCCCCGAGCCGGATCCCTATAAATGTGCTTGCTCACCCAAAGATAAACACAACACATACCGCAGGGGCCTAAATGATTAGAATAGGGCTTGGGGGTCTATTACACTATACTTGTCGGAAGGACCCCCCCAAAACAAAGTAGTATAGGTACTTTTTTCAAGCCCCTATATTGCTCCCACCCACCCGGACCCCTAAACCGAGCCGCAGGTGCAGGCGCAGCTAATGGAGCTCGGCGCGAAGCGGCGGGGCTCTGACTCGAAGCAGAAAATGGCAGCAGAGGCAGCAGCGGCAGCAGCGGCAGCGGAGGCAGCGGAGGCCCGGGTCAGGGAACTGTACTGCTTCACAGGTCTTGCAAACTTTCATGAAGACGAGTTTAACAGGGTTCACAGGGGCTTCAATAAGGGTTCAGGGTGTACGATTCTGATAGTGAGTTGGTTTTGCATGGGCTTCAATGAGGATCCAACGGCTTAGGGTCTATACTAGGTCAGCGTCCATGTACCCAAAGGGTATAAGTGTTTGACCCATACTGAATAGCTTGGACATGCAGTACGTGGACCCTAAGGGCTACGTTGCAGCTTGAGATTGTGGATGTTGGGCTTTTCAGTCCGTCAAGCTTTGGTGTGGTGGGCCTTGTGACGGGGGTCTTGTGGTTCAGGGCTTGTAGGGTTTAGGGTTTAGGGTTCAGGGTGGCAAAGAGCGGGCTATGACAGGGCGGGAGAGGGTGGGTGTTGGCAAAAGGATAGCCAAGACTTGATTGCTTTGCATCTGCAGCACTTACAGCTTACAAGATCATCTTGGGCACTGCCACGCGGATATTGCACATTCCACCGTCTATTTTACTCTGATTGTGCTACATGACGGCATTCATCGGCTGCTAGATTTAGTTCCCTCCATTCTTGCAGCCTGCGCCATGCGTTCAGCGAGCGTCGCAGCCTTGTTCACATCTGTTTGTGGACACGTGACGCCCATTCCTTCGGCTTTTCCAAACTCTCAGCACCTGCTGTTCGAAAGTGTGAAGGAGGATGTCGAGGGCGTAGAGATGCAGGTCAGGTGCTTTTCCCGACTGGCTGCAGGGAACCAAGTACAACAATGGCTTTGGTTTGTTCGAAGCCTGTCCCGCCGACAAGGACTGCTTCTCCATTAACCACCTTGCTGATGTCATGTCCTACTACTCCAAAATGGAAATCAGCAACGGCACCGTGCGCCTGTGGAGCAAGATTCAGAAGACAAAGTACTGGCAAGACGCTCAAAGGTCGAAGCCAACTTACCGCACGTTCAACGGCACCGAGCCTCCTTTCACAGCAGCAGAGACCATCGACACGCTGACTCACCCGTTCAAGACCAACGACAACCTGAATGTTGCGATTCTGCAGCTGACCACGACAGGTCGCATGTTTGGGGTCTCCGACATGAAGGGTTTTAATGAGGCGCACGAGAACCTGGATTATGTCACTGGGCTCTTGTTAACAGACTTGAGACTTCATCCAAGTTGCCATAATGGGATCTATATTAGATAAAGTAAATACTTTGGTTTCCTTATTGTGGAAACGTAAATCAAATTCCTTGACAAGAACCCAGGTTAGTGGCCTGAAGCTCACAGAGAAGAACAAGCCAGCAATCTCCAAGCTACCCATCCTTGGCATAGACGTCGTGACCTGCGCTCACATAGGCAACACTCTCGGCGACAAGTACGTCTACGGCTACAACTACCTGCTCATCGACGGACCTGAGAACGACTTGGCAGTTTGGCGGGTGGACATGACGCAGCCTGATGGGGGTGTCGGTACCAGCTTGGAGCGCGAGTGGATGGGCACTGTGAAGGTTCCAGGGGCCACCCACATCAGCTACATGCACACGTTCGCGAACATGAAGAACTACTTGGTGTTTGTTGGCTCCGCGTTTCAGTACAACATCGAAGGGATCCTCCGATACACCAACATCATGAAGGCAATGGAATGGCACCCGGAAAAGAAGAACATGTAGCTAGGTCCCCCGAGTAGCACCCTTGTTGGCATTTTCATTTTGGGTTTGCTGTTACCTCAGAACAACAGGAGACAGGGTGCCGTTACAGAAGCGGGGTACTGGGAAACCTAGGTTATGGGTCTACGAGAAAGCTTCCGGAAAGTTCATCAAGACTTTCACATCGGATGCGTTCTGGTTCTACCACCTGGTGAACTGCTACGAGGACGGCAGCAAGGTGGTCTTGGACATCAACACCGTCGACTACCGGCACATTGAAACGGCCTTCGCCAACGAGAAGCTGCGCTATGACTACCCATGGGAGTTCGAGGAGAAGCCAACGATCCACGCCTTGTGGTGGACACTGCGGCAGAGGAAGGCACGCACTTCCCTTATGAGATCTTGGGACCCAGTATGGATCTCAGCACCATCCATCCCTATCTCCATGGCCAGGACTACCAGTTCACCTGGGGTCTCAGCTGGAGTGGGAAGCACCTGTGGTGGGACAACATCGTCAAGTTCCTCTGGTGGTGCTTAAAAATTACGTTTTTGTTTTGTTACAATTATAATCCTTAAAGAAACAGCTATAAGACGATAATTCTGCAAGGGCCCCATATGCAAGTTCAGTACAGGTTCGATGTGAAGTCCAAGCAGATGGTGGCAACATGGCACCGCGACGATCACTACCCCGGGGAGCTCATGGCAGTGCCAAGGCCAGGTGCCGTGTATGAAGACGACGTCGTCCTCCTGGTCACCATGCTCGGAGGAGACAGCAACCAAAATCATAGTCTTTCCATTCAGATTTTTTTGGCATTTAACCTCCCAACATAGGTATCTTACCTACCTTTTGCTGATATCTTAGTTCTGTTGCCGCCCCCTTGATAGGGATTGCTTTAGTATGCTTTCGTAACTTTAGCAAGAAGTTATTACAGGAAGCGAGCAGACAATGGAATAAAACATGGCACAGTAGCCATATGGGCATCCCTCGCACGGAAATCATCACGGCATGTTTGTTGTTACTATCCAAGTGCCTTGCCCTCCTTATACAGGAGACTACGGCACTTCTTACCTGATGGCCATGGACGGTCGAGATCTCTCTCCTTTGGCGGAGGCGCGGTCGCCGTTCCCACTGCCTTTCGGCTCCCACGGATGCTGGCAGGGAACTGACAAGAGCCGAGGCTGCGTTGGGGAGACCACCGCAGACCCCTTTGGAAAGCCAGCGCAATTCAAGAAGCGAGCCCTTCAAGTGCTGGTGTGATGGCAATGAAAAGTGTTTGTTAGTTTTGTTCGCCTCCAGGGGCAATTTTGCTTGATCATGAACTTGCACATGAGTCCGTGATGTTGCATGCTTCTGAATTTCCGCATTCAGCAGTACTGCTATCCCTGGACAATCCTTGCAAGGGAAGTCTAGTCACGGGCTCATCTGCTGGCGCGCTTGGTGCCTTTTGCTGTCCAGGGCTGCTTCACCTGAAGGTAGCCTCAGAGTGCGAAGAGAGTTTGAAGTATCTGAGCCGTATCAGGTCCCGTCGCAGCTTGCGCGCATGAGACAGGCATTTTGAACAAAACATCGGAACGGATCAACCTTGAACAACCTTGAAAAGGTTAAATGGGTAGTTCTCTAAATTAGGGTCCCTTTTGAGGTCCCCGATATAGTCGGCACCCTTATAAAAAGGACCCTTAAAGGGACCCTTTTTAGAAAACTACCTAAATGTTAAATGGTGATGGCCAGAAGATACGTTGCCCCCTCTTCGGGTGCTCCTCACATGGCAAGAAGTACATTGAGGGGCTAATGTAAATAGAACCCTGATCAAGAAACCCTGGGTCTTTATTAGGGGCCTTGACATAAAGTCTAGTATTTTTTTTTGGCGGGGTTCCTACATGAGGAGCTTCATGATCCAGAGTTTCGGAGAATCTGAGAAGAGGGTCCCTGACTCAACACTCTCCGTCTGACTGTTTAGGGCTTAAGGGAAACCGGTTTAGGGTTTAGGGTCGGTTTTGGGTGCGTGGCTGAAAGGTCCACTGCCCGATGATTCTTGTTGAGCTGTTGTCACCTGGTCTGATATCCAGCTCAAGTTCTCCGGCGCTACGCCGTCTTATGTTTTCTTGGTGTCTACATCCTACACCAAACTTAAAACCCCTAAACCCCAAACTCCCAAACCCCTAGACCCAAGATCTCACACTGAACCACCAGTATCTGGGCCTGAACCATTGAGTAATCATTTGAGTAGCATTTTGGGGTGGAGTTACTGTAAGTCGATAGGCATATGTGGGAACCCCAGCAGAAGCCCTTTTCTAAGCATTATTCCCTAGAAATTGGGTCTTGCAGCACTGGCTGTCCCAGGAGACGGCGGAGGCGCCAAAGGCAACCTGCATGGCCTTCAAGGGTTCCTTTTTGGGTTTAGAGGTTTAGGGTTTAGGGGTTTAGAGTTTAGGGGTTTAGGGTTTTGGGGTTTGGCGTTTAGGGTTCGGGGGTTTAGGGTTTAGGGTGATGGGGGCCGTGGCTGCTGTGAGGGCCATGTTGGGTATGTAAATTCCTACCAGAGGGCTGTCATCCAACCTTTTTGCTACCAGGGAACACCCGAAGCATTCCAAACCCAAAACTAAGCCCTATATGTATGTGTATATATATACACACCTTATGAGCCCTACGGTAGTTTTTATATGTCCTTCGAGCTCGAGGGTGTTGCTGGGAGCTTTGGCAGCTTGGGGTGTATAAAAAGTTGTCGTTTCAGAAGAGGGAGGTTTCCATTTGACAGGGTGCTGCCGAAAGATTCTACGGTTTAGTGGAATCCCAGCGTGGGAGTTTCACATCTCGTTGCCTCTTCGGAGATCCCTGTTGCTCTTGAAGGGTTAAGTTACACTATCTGAAACACTACACTACACTAGTCACTACAGCCCCTTCCAATGTCACCATTCCGAAACCCTCTGCTTACAGGTACAGTCGAAAAAGGCTTCAGCAGAAACCTAAACTGCAAAATTGCCCGAAAGCCCGCACCCAAGAGATCGGCGCCATTCAACAACAAACGAAGGCACAAGCAACCGAACAACCAAGAACGAAACAACCAATGTAGGGTTTAAGTTTAGGGTTTACCAACTTACAAACTTTTTTCGCAAGAAACTTTGCAGCTTCTTTTAAAAGAGCACAAGCGAAAGCACACCCAGGAGCATGAGTCCTTGGATGAAGCTGCCGACCGTTTTGCGACGAAGCTCGCGGCGGGTCGTTCTGGGACCGGCCCGCAACCATGATTTTTGTTTGTTTCTGTTTTTGGTTTTATGAGGGGGAGTTTCTACATTGATGTTTGGGGTTATGCCTTTTGGAGCCTTTTTTTGAGAGTCTTCGGGATGCTTCTGGGGATTTGCAGGTGTTAGGGTGGGGTGCAGTAGCTACTGGAGCCTGCAATGTGATGCCTTCTTGGCTTGACCAGTTTCCTTGTTATTCTTCAGCGTCTGGAACTTAAAACCCAAAACCCTAAACCCTGAACCCTAAACCCTGAACCCAAAACCCTCAACCCTGAACCCTAAACCCCGTTTCCCAAAACCCTAAGCCCTGAACCCTCAACCCCAAAACCCTAAACCCTGAACCCAAAACCCAAAACCCTAAAAACCCTAAAAACCCCGCCCTGAACCCCCCCAAGCTGCAGGAAGTCTTCGCTCATCTGGCTTTGGGGTGTCTGGAAGCAGGCTGGGCACGCGGGGCAGGGCAGAGCATTGAGCTTGACAAAAAAGGGTGTGGGGATTAGGGTTTAGCGTTTAGGGTTTAATAATTGCCTATACTATTAACTTATTCATTTATTTATTTTATATTATTTATTTTTTTGACTTTTTTTTTTTGGGGGGGGGTCCTTATTACAAGTGTAGCATAATATAACCCCCCCCCCACTTGTTTTTATGGCCCCTACATCAAGCTCCAGGTTTGGGGCTTCTGAGATCTGAGTTTCGGAGGTTGGGGGCTGGGGGCCTTAAGACCTGGGTCCTCTGGGTTATTGTTAGGGGATAAATTTTAAGTTACCATAATAAGGAAACCATGTTGTTTGCTATAGATCCGCCATTATGGCAACTTGAATAAAATCCCTTACCAAAACCCAGTCTTTCAAGGCGACCCTAGCCCTTAACATCAAAGTAACTACGATTTTAGCAGTTTCATGTTAGGTTAGGGTTGAGAGTTGGGGTTTTAAGGAGTATAGGGCTTAGCTTCGTTACAACAACTTGTTCGGGTTCTCTTTCTCTCTATGCCACTCTATGCTATACTAATGGTAAACCCTGAACCCAGGAGGCCCCTTGTGGGGTTTCTAAGGGTTTTAGGGCTTTGAGGGGTTTGGAGGGTTTAGGGGTTTAGGGTTTTAGGGTTTTAATTTTTCAGGTTTAGGGTTTCAGGGCTTAGGGGTTTAGGTATAGGGCTTTAGAGTTTAGGGCTTTAGGGTTTTGGGGTGTAGGGCTTT